AACTTACAGTAGGACTATACAGACTGCACACCTCTCAAACACTGACTGTTGAACCAGATGAGATGGACTGATGGACATTACTTGATGTACAATCAGTCTTGCTGCATTACTCAAGGTCAAGTGACTAACTTCAGAACCACATGCTGAGATGCAGCTGGGCTTTCACTCCCTCACCCTATCCCCCAATCCATTACAATCTGTGGAGCTACATTACTTTCTGTCACTGTGCTGCTGGGTCCTCTCACCTTTGCTGTCAGTTCTGGTGCTTACCATCCATTACTATTACTGATCTCTGGCTCTTTCCATCTAGCCACATCCAAATGCTACACTGCTACCCAACATTTCTTTTTCTGTTTCTTCATTTTTGTCTCTTCTGTTTCCTGCTCTTCTCGGCTACCTGACAAAAGAGAGCTACTTCACAGGCACAGCCAGCCAATCAATACACTCCTTTCCTTCTAATTAAGAAAAAAAAATCAAAGTATGTCAGAATGATCTCTGGCTTTTCTGAAGCATTTCCATCACAATCTGATGCTCAAAGGTTCATTCATTTTTACAAAAGATTCTATAGTTTATTTTATTTATAAGTTTGAAGTTACTGCAGATACTTTGTCTAGACACTGAAGCTTTTACAATGATAGCATTTTAGGGTTAAAAAAAGCAACAGAAGACATAGTGGCTGCCTTCTTTAACTCTTAAAAGATTTATCCCCCAAAAAAAATCTCCAAGAATTTCTATTAAAATCGGATCTTAAAACAAACGAATAGTACTCCAAATGGATATACATACTTACCTATGTATATATCCCCAAAATATATGAAGAGATCTTTCACATCACCATTCATTAGGAAAATACAAATCAAGACCACAGGAGATACAATTTCATACCCATTAGGCTGGTTATTACCAAAAAACAGAAATCCTATTTGGAGAGGATGTGAAGTATTGCTGAGGAGGGGAGAAACTGAAACCTCTGTGTATTGATGGAGGATATATAAAATAATCTAGCCACTGTGGATAATAGTACCGCAATTCCTAAAGAATTAAACAGAATTACCATATGATCTAGTAATGCCACTTCTGGGAATATACCTAAAATAAATGAATGTAGAGTCAAACAGCCATGATCATAGCAGCATCATTCATAGTAACCAAAAGGTCGGAGCAACACCAAGTAACTACAAACAAATGAAGAGATAAACAAGATATACATACAATGGAATACATACAATGGAATATTATTCAGCCTAAGGATATTTTATGTATGCTACAGCATTAATAAACCTCGAAGACACTGTGCTAAGTGAAATAAGCCAGTTACAAAAAGGCAAATCTTGTATGATTCCACATTTTTGAGGCACCTGGAGTAGTCAAAATTAGCAGAGACAAAAGTAGTTTGGGGTTGCTAGGGCTGAGGGAGGGTGGTAATGGGAGTTAATGTTTAAAGGGTACCGATTTTTAGTTGAGGAGATGAAAAGTTCTGAAGATGGATGATAATGACAGTTGCATATCAGTGTGAATGTACTTAATGTCATTGAAATGCACAGTCAAAAATAGTTACAATAGCAAAAGATGTTATGTATACTTTACCACAATAAAATAAAGAAAGAAAGAATAAAGTTGAAATAGAACAGAGAAGTCCTTGCTACTTAGTTATCCAGGGCTATCATGCAAACCCAATCTGACTCTAAAACAGCACAAGTTATGTACAAGTGAGTAAATGGTTCTTGACTTTGTTGGTGCTGTTGGAAACATCTCTACAGAACTAAGAATGTCAGATTCTCTTCGTGGAGGTCAGCTTGGGAAACCTGAGAAAAATAGGCTGTCAATAAATAAGGTTGCTCATGCTCACATCAGATCACTAAATAAATATTTGTTCTCAAGATTTTTGCACCTTAATGCCTCCATTCCTACATCCTTACTACTCTAAGATAGACCAAAAGTTCTCATGCCTCAGAGCCTTTTGTTAGCCTAAAACAATGGTCGGCAAACTCATTAGTCAACAGAGTCAAATATCAATGGTACAATGATTGAAATTTCTTTTGAGAGCCAAATTTTTTACACTTAAAACTTCTTCCTATGCCACTTCTTCAAAATAGACTTGCCCAAGCCATGGTATTTTGTTTGCCGACCACTGGAAAACAACTGTCCCCCACTCACTTCTTTTAGATTTCTCAAATAAATGTCCCTTTATCAGAGAGGTTGAGTATCTAAAATATTCTCTCTCCTGTTAATGAGCTTTGTTTATCTTCATAGTTCTTATCACTACTTGAGATATATACTGAGTGGCTAGATTATTATGACCACCTGACATTTGTAGGCAAATTAGCCGTACACTGCATCATATGGGGTTATGGAAGCTGAAGGCCTGTTTGAACACCTTTGCTGTCTGCAGTTACCAAGATAAAATGTCTCCAATTCGCACTGAAACACAAGGATTGGACAGTCAAGCATAGAAAAATGTCATGTGGTCCAATGAATCACATTTTCAGTTGCATCATGCAGATGGCAGAGTGAGAATTTCGCAAAAAAAGCATGAAAGCATGCACCCCACATTGCATGAGTACAACCCTTCAAGCTGGTGGGGGCAGCGTTATGGTTTGGGGCATGTTTTCCTGGCATGATTTGGATCCTTTAATTCGTGTGGAACAACGTCTGAATAGCACAACCTAAGTATGGTTGCTGATCAAGTTCATCCTACCATGTTGTTGGCGCATCCCAATGGAGATGGTTCCTTCCAACAAGGCAATGCGCCATGCCAAGGTGCTCATATTGCGTAGGAGTGATTTCAAGAACATGAGAGAAACTTTACCTTGCTTAGGTGGCCCCCACAATCACCAGATCTCAATTCAATTGAGCATTTGTGTGACGAAGTTAAAAGAACCACCAGGCAGCTGCTTCCACAACCATCAAATCTCACAGAACTGGACAGTGCTATTCATCAGGCATGGTGTCAGATTCCTCGCATCTCCTTTCAACATCTCCTGGAGTCAATGCCAAGAAGAATGGCCGCAGTACTGAAGGCAAAAGGTGGCCCAACAAAGTACTGATGGGGTGGTCATCATAATCTGGCCACTCAGTGTATATGCTTAATTTTCTTTCTTCGTCCACTACAGTAAACCTCAATATAATGAAAGGATTTTGGGGTGAGGGGGTGTCTATCAATGCCAAAAGTCCCTTATGTAATGAAGTAGTTTTTCCGAATGCATATATTAAAAAATTGACCAACTAATTTACCTGTCTTTACTTATGTAGGCACATTTGTGTGATTAAAATTAAGTATGCATGAAAAGTTTAATTTCACAGAAAAGTTTTCTATATGTATTACGGTTATTTTAAATTTATACTGAATAGGTCTAGTAAATGCTTGCATTCACCAGTCTCTGGGAGTAAACAAATGCACGAGGCTGGGGCTTAGCTTGGTGCACGAGGAAACAAAGGCTGGTGCTTGTTGAAACTGATTTATAAAGTCACACCACAGGACAACAGAACCAATTACCACACAAGATGCAGTGTGATCACGTGGTAATCATTTGCCGAATATTGTTTACAAGAGGTGACTATTAGATTTAACTATGTAGTCTATACTTGTAGACGTGTAATAGTTATGTCTGTGAAATTACTAGTGTTTTTTCCAACATATGGCCTATTCCATAAAATGTGTTAAAAATAACGGTGATTAATAACAAAACAAAAATCCTATTACTTTAATTAAAAGCAAATCTTGGCCAAAAGCATTTTAAAACGCACAAGGAGCTAATTTTCACATAGGACGTACAGAAATTTTGTCCGTTAAATTGAGGTCCACAAAATGGAGGATTTACTGTACCAAGTAACTTCAGGAGCATAAGGACTTTATTTAAAGGCCAGTATTCCCAGCACCTAGAACACTACTTGGCACATTGAAAGTAGCCAATAAGTAGTTGCTAACTAAATGGATAGATGGATCTTCACAGCTTCACAGAGCACAATCCCTCTTGGTCTGGGTGCCATCTACCAGCCTTGCAGCAGCCACAGCCCCAAAGCCATCCAGAGCATTCATTAAGGCTTCACTAGTGAAGTGGTAGGAGTATAACAGACAGAAGCCTGGTACCAGCGGTGACAGTACCATCTTAATTAAGCTCTCCAGACAGTGCTCTCTGACTCAGTTTGTAAAAACGCGAGATGAAGACAGTTTATCTATCCTTCATCATGCTGAACAAAGGACAAAAAATAAAGAATTTAGCTTTAACACTGCTTTAAGGCAAAATGACACTATGTACTGCATGGCAAACATCACGTTGCACATATTTTGATAAAAATTATAAGAACTTGGTAGTCTGAAAACCACAAAATTTTCCCTTTACATGTTTTCAGAGTATTGGAGTAAATGGACAAATGCAACAAAGTAGGTTGTTAACAAATATAGTCAAAAATGAAGTAACTGGTTACTTGGCCCAACAGACACACACTCTGGAGCACTGGAATAGTCTGCTTCCTAAAAACACCTAACTTTATTTCCAAGTCAAAAGTGTTCAACTAAGAATCCATCCCCGCTCAATGTCCCACCAAGCGTCCACGCCATGTTGCAAACTTTTGAGAACATTTGATAACCGCACTTTAACCTTCTGTCTGCAATAAGTCACTCTTGGTAAAGTTTTGGCAGTTGATAATTTCTGCAGGAAAAAAAAAAAAATCTTTAACCATAGAACCGCGATATCTCCCCATCTGAGAAAGCCTAGTGCAGGTGACACTCTAGGGCTCCCAGAAGCCCCCACGTCCAGGTGAACGGAAAGTCCTTTAGGAACACACGCGTCCTGCCCGCCACGGAAGGAGTGAACTGCGGGGTCCGTGGGGTCCGGGACCGAGAACAGAGGTGTCCGTCCGCACAAAACGCACCGTAGCTCTAGGGAACCTCCGGCCCTGCGCCAGCAGCCCCCAGCCGAGAAGGACCAAGCCAGCCCCCTCCTCCGATCCCGGCCCAGGCCGGCCGGGGACTCAGGTCCCCGCAAAGGAGGTCCTACCTGAGCTCTGCCCGCGGCTGCAGGGCTGCGGGGCTGCGGGGGGAGGCGGGAGGAGGCGTGGCCTTCTAGAGCGCCCGGGCGAACTCCCTCGTGCGGTCGTAGTCACTTTCTCTCTCACGGGATCCGCGCCCCGAACCAGTTCAAGTTGCACTTCCGGGGTCCGCGAGAGGCTGAAACGTCATCACGCACGCGACGGCGCCCAATCCGGAAGTGGGCGGGGCGTGGCCGCCGGCCAGGTTCCCGCGGCTGCGGGTGGGCTGGGAGGAGAGCCCGGGGAGGTAGTAAGATGGTCACGTTACTCACCTGCGGGCCGTGATCCCCCGCACCCGCTTTTCTGACGGGCGGGACACCACTGGCTGGAGCCGCCCGGAAGCCTGGTTCTCCAGGCGGAGTTTCAGGAGCAATTCCGGGAGTGCGCCTGCAGCCTCCGGCAATTGCCCACCCTGCTACTGTGGTTTATCCCCTTGGAACGATCCATTCAACTCCGGTCAAGGCCGGAGGTGATGTAGAAGATAAAATGTACCTCTCAGTTACGTCTTAGATAAAGTAGGACGTGAAGTCCGGGTTCCCTGAGCCTGCCCTTTTTCCTGTTTGCTGGGCACAGGCACACCTTTGAGACATTGCAGGTTCTGTTCGAGATCACAGCCATCAAGTGTGTCCTCATCTTTTTGTTGGCAGAGGGTCTTGCCTTCAATTTGGAAAAAAAAAAAAAATCAAATAAATAAATATGTAATCCCTGTGAAGTGCGGTAAAACAGCTCGCTGTAAAATGGAGAGTATGCCTGGATTGGAAACAGCTGTGGAAAGCTATAGCCACATTGCTATCGGAGTTTGCTACTCAGCCCTTATGGCAAAAATCCCTGATGGTAAAAAATTACCCATGAAAATGCCTTAAATAGCCAGCCATGCCTTCATTGGGTTCTGTATTCATGTATCTAACTTCTTGTTCAACATATCTACTAGGGCATTTAACATGCAATTAAAACTCCATATTTTCCACTCCAAGACTTGTTCTGTTGCACATCTTTCCATTTCAGTAAATGGCACATTGATTCTTAAAACAGTTTTCAGGTCATCCTTTGATTTCTCTATCTCTGACATTCCACAACCAATCTCTCAGCAAAATCTGTTGGCTCTCTTTTCAAAAGGTAGTCCTCACTGGATGCTGTGGTTGTCTCTTACTTGTTCTACAGGCTACTATTCTTTCCTCCCTAGAGTCTAGTGTCCTACTGGCAACTATAGAAATCCTTTTAAAATGCAAATCAGAATTTGTTCCTTCCCTCTTCAAAACCTTTAAGAGCTTCCCTACTCCAATAGAATAAAGAATCGTTTCCATAAATCCATAACATCTGGCTCCTGTCCACCCAGGCCTCCACTAAGGCTGAGGTGGTAAGAGATTTTGGGTAAAGGATGGGGAGCAGGGAAAACGTGATTTGGATTGGGGAAAACAGGAGTCCCAAAAGTAATTGACAATTCTCTTGAGTAGAAATATTTAAAGGCAAGACATTGACTAAGGGTACCTCTGATGATAGAGTAAAAATATAACAACAGTCAACTTTTCCCAACAGCTAGTACACATGATAGCAAATGGTTGTATGTATTAGCTTTCTTTGGCTTTCATAGGCAATATAGTGAGTCCTCACTTAACATCCATTGATAGGATCTTGGAAACTACATCTTCAAGCAAAGCAAACTATAATGAAACTCATTTTACCATAGACTAATTGATATAAATGAGATAAGTTCTTATAGTATACTTCCGGTCACTAAAACATCACCAAGCTTCTAAATAAAGACCCAAACACTCCCAATAGTCCACATTGAAATAAATGTGAATGAGCTATACATACATTTAAGAAAGACTAATAAAAACAAGTGAAATAATTACTTTCTAACCTGCTCAGTGTTGAGGGTGGTCAGAGCCTATCCCATCAGCTCAGGAAACAAGGCAGGAGCCAGCCCTGAGCAGAACGGCAGTCCTTTGCAAAGCTCACACACACACTCACCCCACTCTCACTCACAAGGGGGTAGTTTAGATTTGCCATTTAACTTACTGTGTACCTCTGTGGGACGTGGGACAAAACCAGAGTACCTAGGGAAAACTCGTGAAGGCATGAGGAACATTAGCTAACTCCTCATGGACAGTGACTCCAGCCAGGAATCATTTTTTCCACCTCGCCAATGTTATCTATAATGAAATGATGTTGAATAAAAACAATGTTATTCAAGGACCTTCTGCATCTCAAACTAGGTGGCCAAACCAACAGAAATTGTCTCACAATTCTGAAGATTAGAAGTCCAAAATCAAATTAAGGCACAAGGTTGTTCCCTTCTGAGGACTGTGAGGAAGAGCTTGTTCCATGCCCCCCGGTCTAGTTTCCAGTGGTTTGAAAGGAATCTTTCATGCCCCTTGTTTTGTAAATGCACCACCCAAATGGCTGCCTTCGTCTTCAAATGGCATTCTCCCTGTGTTCTGGCTCTGTGCCCAAATTTCTCCTTTTTATAGAGATGATCATATTTTTTGAGGGGGCCCACCCTAATGAGCTAATTTAACTAATTTTTACTTGATTAATGTTCTAATTATCAAATAAAGTTACATTCAGTATATCATTTGGGAAGCAGGGCATAATCCAGCCCATGACACGAGGGTAGAATTGCTTTGAAAGTAGAGAAGCAACTCCAGTAGGAAGAAGGGAGAAGCATACCAACCAGAAGAGCCAGGCTGTTGAAGCCACCAGATGGGCCACATGGACATGTTTAGGTGCTCGGTGGAGCATGTATCTCATGTCTCAGGGAATGGCAATATTGACATTCCTGGATTTGGGTGATTCTCTAAAAATGCATCAAAGTACCTAAGGACAGAAAGCACCAGCATTTGGACATTTGTTACATAAGGGACAACAACAATTTACAAAAGTCTTTTCTTCCCAGACCTAAACTGACCCTGAAGGAGCTCAAAGTAAAACTAGTGTGGGACATAGACAAGTAAAAGGTGGAGGAACTATGACAAAATAAATCATACCCTCTTCCTTTCAACCATATTTGTGGGTGAGTCAGGCCTATCCTGGGAAAGAAAATCTCTTAAAGTGACTTAGAAGTTTTCAGTTCAACATGTAAAGAGTTTGGAACTTGAAAATCAGTCACTCCCATCCTGACAACAAGAAAAAAGCTATACACACAGAAAGTCAACAACTCTTCTTAGATCTGTCAGAGAATTGCCACAGGGCAGACTACATTGTTTTCTGTGATGATAGCTAATGGATAAGTAAAATGAATGATAGCTATGTTATAAGGGACAGGAGGGAGGAATTGGAAATCTATATTTTTACTACCCATGAAATGGTATTATTTAAAAGTAGACTTAAATAAGTTGTAAATATATTTTGCAAACTCTAGAGCAAACACTTGAAAAGGTTTTTAAAAAGTCTAATTAATATCCTAAGAGAGGAGAGAAGCTAAAATCATATAAATATTCAATAAAATCAGAGAAAGCAGGAAAAAGTGGCAAAGAAAAAAAGAAAGAAAAAGGAAAATGGGTACAAAATATTTGAAATGATTTAGATCATATTGGACTTTTAAATAAGATAAAATTTGAGACATTCCAAATTATCCTAATATGACCAGAAAAGCCATAATGCCTGTCCATCGTATAAACCAGGGATAGAGGAAAAGATCTGACAAAGCAGGTTTGAATTATAGTTAGTAGAAGAAAAATTAGGTTTTCTGCTTGTTATCCATCACCCCTCCAAGTGCTGCATATTCAATATATAAGTTATATCTAATTACCTATAAATTAGAGAAATGCCAGTGTTTAATATATTAGTCAAATAATTATATAAAAATCATATTTTCAAGGTTGTAATGGTATTTCCTCTTGGAATATTAGGACTGTGTAATTTCTCAATCTCTATTGGTACTTTTCCTGTCTTCCCTTCCCTTTTATATCTCAAATATGAGCTTCTCTATTCCTGGTTTTCCACAATTATTTCTATAAGCACACAAACTTTACTCTTACTTTTCTTTGTTCTAATCCTTTTATACACTGATGTCTCTATTGTTGTCAATCTGATTATTCCCATATATCTTCAGAAACATACTCTATCTCCCAGTATTTACTAAAACTTGATATATTGGATGTTAAATATGGTTAATGCATTTTTAAGATGCATTCCCACATCCTTATAAGGAGCTCTCTCTCTTCTCTCTCTCTCTCTCTCTCTCTCTCTCTCTCTCTCTCTCTCTCTCTCTCTCTCTCTCATTCTACATTGCTTTGATAAATCTTAGCAGTGAGAGTACAACTATGTGATTAGTCCTGTGAGAGATCTAGCTAATCTCTGAATGGAGAGGTGGTCTTGAAGACTCTCCCAACACAATTATACATTCTCAAAAGAAAATGCAAGCAATGGAGACTGATCCCAAGATACCTCAATGTTGGAATCATCAGATTGGATTTTAAAGAGCAATTATAACTATGCTCAATGACATAAAGGAAAGGACACTCATACTGAATGAAAATCCAGGAAATTTCAGCAAACTTAAAAACTATGCTAAAGAATCAAATGGAAATTATATTACAAAAAAAATAGAATATCTGAAAATTTTAAAATCTAGTAGATGGGCAGAATGGAGATTTATGAATAGAGAATCGGTGACCTTGGAGAAAGATAAATACAAAAATATCATAAATATGCACAATAGAGTCAAGCTGCTTAGAACCAATAATAAAGAGAAAATCTTGAAAGCAGCCAGAATAAAATGACATGATAATATAGGGGAACAATGATCTAGATGTTCCATTGTTTCCTCATCAGAAACCAGGGCCTGGGACAGAGTGGATCATCTTTAAAGTGCTAAAAGAAAAAGTCTATCAATACAGAATTTTGTATCTATTGAAATATCCTTCGAGAATGATAAAATAAACATTTTCATGTAAAAGAGAAATAACAGAATCAATCACTGCACTACAAAAAAGGTTAATGGAAGTGCACTAAAGGCAGATGTAAATGTAGATCTTCAGGGAGAAAGAACATTGGAAATAGAAAATACCTCAGTAAATAGAAAATACTTTTTTTCTTAATTTCATTTATATATATATACATGTATATATATAACTATTTGAAACAAAAATTATCTCATTTTTAATGCTATTTTTTTTCAAAGTTAATCATGGCACTTTTTTTTTTTCTTCTGTT